TACTGGGTCTGCCACACTGCAGATGGGTGGACTGTCCCCTGTTCCCTGTCCTTGCAACCCAAGCTCTCAGCACACAGGACACATCTTCTCTTGTGCTTATCTAAGAGCATCCTCCCCCTCGCTGCCCAGGAGAGCGCAAGCTGACTGCTTTCCAACGGGAATGTCGCTCTTGGAAAGGATTCAGCTCCCAGAGGAATGGGCAGCGCTGGCCCAGGGATAATCGATATCCGTCTCGGAGAACTCAAAGGAAAGCCGATGATGGATGCTCCATCATGCTCTGGTCACACTCAGCTCCGGGCAGTGGCATCTGGCAGATTTTTCACCAGTGTTGAGGCACAACGTGGTGGCGATGGCACCATTCCATGCAGGATTCCTGCGGGAATCTCCTGTGCAGGACGGATCTCCCCCTGCGGGATGGGCTGGCAGAGGCTCCGGCGCTGCATCCAGGGATGTTTGCTTTGACACGGGGAGAAGCGGTTCCTGGTTGATATTTCAGCTCTGTGAGGGGAGTGATGGGCTGAGAGGAAGGACAAAGTCACCTCTGGATTTGTTCCAGCACCTTTGTGAAGCTGAGAGGATGGAGCAGCTGCTGCAGAGAAGTGTCGTCCATCAACTTCCATCCATCAACTTCCCACCATCCTGTCCTCCACCTCCGATGGATGCGAGGTACCAGCTCAGCCTCCTTCCCAGCTTCTCCAGCCCTTTTCATGGCAGGTCAAGGTTGCTCAGGGTTGGAGATAACTTCCAGCAAGGTCTCTAGAGCTTTTTTGGCAAGCACTAATCTTCTCCAGGTGCCAGAGGTCTGTTGGCTTCTCCCATGTGGTTGTTTCTACAGCAGCCTCCCAACTAAGGCCTGATCCTGCGTGATACTGAGCTGCCTCCCACCCTGGTTGGGACCAGACCCCAGTATCCCTGTGACAGACCCTCTGGGACCAGCGTGGTACTCACGTGGTGATGGCGGTGGTGGATGTCATCCTCATCCTCATCCTCATCTTCATCATTGATGATCACGGTGCGCACCAGTTTCCGCATGGCCACCTCCTGCGGGGGACAGGGAAGGAGTTGGGGGGTTTGGTGTCTGCTGATCCCCCAGTGCCCTGACCCGGTGCTGCCATCGGGGTCTCACCTCCCCGTTGGAGTTGATCAGGGCAGTGCGCAGGCTGTCCCCGGAGCCCCAGCTGCTCTGGGCTTTCCACACTACGTTGCTGGGGGGGCTGTGGGTCGCCCCAGCCCCTGAGGCCCAGATCTAGGGAGAAAAACACAGAAAAAAGCAACATCTCAGGTCTGCAGAGCCCAGACCACGGGGACGCAGGTTTATCCCCCCAAAAAAGCCATGTGCCAAGTAGCTGGAGCCCTGGCTCCAACCACTCTGTGTCACCAGTGGCCTGGCTGGGTTTGGGATCTCGGCTGGATCCTTCACCGGGCAGTGACTCACCGTGACCACCTGGCCAGCCTTCAGGGTGAACTTTGGGGGGAAGCGGTAGGTGATGGGGGGATCATCTCCATTCTGCCGCTTGATCTGCCAGTTCCCAATGGCCTGGTCCTGAGAGAGAGAGAGAGCAGCACCCCTGAGATCCCCGGGTTCCTCCCCAGCTTCTCCCAGTTCACCTCCTGCCCATGGGCTGAAGTTGGGCTGAACTACATCCCTACGGATCCCAGGGATCCTCCCTGAACGCAAACTCACCTCGTTGGACTTGTTCCTGAGACGGACAAATCTGCCCTCCAAGTCTACCTCCTCCACGCCGACACGGCCGCTTGTCCGGGCGTGGTGGGAGAAGCTGGTCCGACCCTCGCTGTCCTCCAGCTTCCTCTTCTTGGAGGAGCCCGGAGTGGACAAGTGGCTACGGGATCCACCTTTGTGGGAGGGAGGGCTGGGGGGCAGCCTCCGCC